CTAACCACTGATCCACCTTGCAGCCCCTAATAAAAGTCATATTTGAAAATAAAATGTAAATGTTAGAGACAGGTGGGAAACAGGAAAATGTATGTTAAGAAGTATGTGACGTCCTTAAACATATATTTACCCAAATTCAGGAACTGACTAAGAAACTCCAACTTAAAGTAAACTTGTCGTTTAGAAATGAGCTGGATCTGTTTCAGCAGTAGGCTGCAAATTGTACGAGCAACATTTTTATGAGTGCTTGGTTCTATGGATGTGATTTACATGCGCTGTCCATATCAAACCACTTAATGCTATGCATCACAGTTCCATTAGATATATTACAGGCGAGGCCATCGTTATCCATAGTGTGAGCAACAGTCAAAGGGAACAGCATTGTTTTTTTTATTCACTAAATAGACTAAAAAAATACCATGTTATCTATCATCATTTGTGCAATTAGAAATAAGGGTTGCTGTACATCTTTACCAGATGGGTGGATGTTTTTTAATTTTTTAAATATCCCATTCATGAATATGGAACTGCTTTCACCTACCAGGCACCTCAAAGAATTTAGGACTTTTTAAAATTTGCCAAATCTTTAACCTTAAAACTGTTCAAGCTTGTGTTGAATGGTGTTTTATATACTGAATTCTTTGTTTTGTCTATATGTAATGTACACGTTGATTCTACAGGTTTATACTTGTAAAATTATTTTCAATCTTCTCAGGGCACCATTGTGAATTTTCCTTGATTACAAAAAGTATGTCAATAAATTACTGAACATATGTTGATATATCAATATCAGAATATAACTTCTGATAAAACAACACACAGGTCAAAGTACTACATTAAGGACTGTTACACTTACAATCCATTGTTTTTCCACCATGCCAGCAAGTATACTACTGTATTTAGATGGAAAACTAAATATATTGCATCCACAATATTTTTAAAAACATTGGTTATACAGTCCAAAGTGGAATATATTTATTTCCACAAAAGAGAATATGACAATAAATTCAACATGGTGACAGTCATTGTAGTCAGTGTTGTATCAATATCACAGCTAGCTAGCAGTAAAACTAGCTTTGGGAATACTAAGTTATCAGTATTGTAATTTAAACAAGAATTACTTTGACTAAAATGCTGGACAGTTTAGAATAAGACGCTATGAGGGCACACAAAGTCTTTTTAAATTAACACTAATATGAAGGTCTTCACGGAATTTAACTCCTACACTTACTGTTGGTTTTGTAGCCCGTTAGCTCGTCTTCGCCGCCATTTGCTGCAGCTGTTCATCCAACACTGACTGAAGTGGCGCAGTTAGCTGTATCTGTGTAGTGAGTCCTGAAACATGGAGGAGTTTGTCTCAACGATAAAATGTGAGCAGTTGTTGATTTTATCTAACTACAGCTTGTCAAGCCAAGTATGTGTAAAAGCCCGTTTATTGGCAAAAACGGAGATAGTTAGCCTCAGCTGCGTTAGCTTATGTATGCTAGGTTAGCCACAATTAGCTAGCATATGTTGCGGTCACAGAGCTAGCTGCGTAATTTCTCCTAAAGATAAAGTTTATTTTACTTTGCTTTACCAGCTTTTTTTTCTTTTGTATTAAATCATTCTGAAGCTGATTATATGTGTTTTATCCTGATGGCTAGAAGAGGTCTTTGGACACTCTTAAAATGCATTCATACCAGGAACAATTGTTCTAAAATGACCTTTTGGGTACTTAAGATATGGTCTTAGAGATGATCAGTTCAGTTAAGTTAGCTGCTAATACCTGCGAGACTGTCACTTCTGTTGCTTCTGTATTGACTTGTACCTTTAATCTCACTGCTGTAGCCATCACCAACATGGGAAATGATTTTTATACTGGAATAGCAGCAGCATACAGTATGTTGTTAATGTACATTATCCAATTGTATTTATAGTGAACAGACCCAGTGAGTGCACAAACACATTCACTTTTCTTTATTTCATCATGTGTGATTTTCCACAGAAATGCTTGTGAACAGCTATTGCTCTATAATGTGTTATTAAAACATTTGGCAGCTCAATATTAACCTACAACAGAAAATAACTTTAAAAATTGCCACTAGAAACTGGCTATTGACGCCAACATTTTTGCGAAACCATTTAGCCTATTTAAAGAAAAAAACGTGAAAAAGTGTAATGTTTTCCTCCTCACTGAATGGTGCTCCACTCATGCTGTACTACATAGTGCTTGTTGTTGTGGAGGGTATGTTTGCTGTTGCTTATTTTTTATTTTGAATGCAACCACAAGTTACTGATTGGTCACATTTCTCTAAATATCTTAAAGGAAGGTTGCTGCCAGTGTCAGAATGGACAAATGTGGAGGAATCATTGACCACTTGTGAGAATGACGTGTTAACTCTTGCCTTCTTTGTGTCCTGTCAACATGTGTTCATCTGCTCTTCCTCATACACAGCTCTCACAGAGAAACTGCAGCAGAAACAGCTGACAGATCGTGAAGAGGTGATAGAGAAACTCTTCTCTGAAGTCTCTGGCCTGGAGCCTTTTCCCAAAATGCCAGATCCACAGGTAGATAAAAGTGTGTGAGTTTTTCTGACTGTAGCCCACAGTCCTAAAGGATTTGTCAAAGAATCCAAAAAAACAACCAAAAATTAATAGATTAGCAAATAATCTTAAACTTAAAATTTGAAGTGCTAGTACTCTGGCAATGTAGGACTTATTTAATTTAACCTACCATAATTTTTACAACTGTTATTTGTAGTTGTCAGAAGAAGTTGGCATAATTTGTAAGCAGCATGTATTTTTCTTTTTTCTTTCTCCTATTACAGCTTGAACAATGTGCTATTCAGCTGTGGAACTGGGCAGTTACTAAGAATGTGGATGCCACCATAAGTGATAATCAGAAAGCCAAAGGTACACTTTTGGTTTCAGTTTTTATTTAAATGATAATTTTACTGATGATCATGATAAAACTTATATCATCTACTTAAATCATGGCCATCATATCATCCTAATTGTTGACACAATGTGGGAGCTACAAGCAGGGTTAGTGACGGTTGTGCTACGTCACACCAAAATGTTTCCTCCATCCTCACAGTGCGTCACGTCGCATGCAGTCTGCTGCACTGCTGTGAGCCTGAGAATCCAACAGAGGGCGTCATTCGCAAACAGATCCTGGTAAGCAATACTGTTGGCTCACTCTGTGAGGGCTCAACATTTCAGGAGGACAAGGCACGTTTGTCAGTGTCTAATCTTTACAGATGGCCAGCAAAACAGGGAGAACCTGGCTGGACTGCAAAAATCCCCAGATGGCAGATAATTTCTTAAGTCTCGCTGTCAAGGTGACAAAAAAAAGTGAACACTAAAACTGAGAGAGATATTGTATCTATTTAAGATCAGAGCAAACAGAAATATGGTGTCTTTGCAAATGAATCAACATACAATATCCCTAGAGCCTGGAAGCCCTCTATAACCAACTGACGTCCAAAGACGAGGGAGCAGCTGACGTCGCTTCATCCAAGGCGGATGTGGAGAAGGATCTACTTCGAATTCTCTCATCCCAGGCAGAATCGGTGAGCTGTGGCGCATGTGATGTTCAACACCTTCAATGTGAATATTTGTTCTTGTGATATTTGGCAGCTTAGGAAGTGCTATTCTGACAGACTTGCAGTGTGAAGTGTGAGACAGCTAAAATGTGAACTGAGAAACAATGAGAGGGGGAAATCTCTAATAGGGAAAATGATATTGTTTGCTATGATTAAATAGAAAGTTTGAGTCAGTATCCTTTTGCAGGCCATAACTCAAGGGAATAACCAGGAGGCTGTCGTCTACATACAGCGCTGTAAAGACATGTTGCTGCGGGTACCAAAAGATGTAAAAAAAGCCATCTGCTATCACCATAACAACACTATATATTGATGTTTCACATTTACAGTGCATATTGTCATTGAAAGTGTGGGGGATGTTAACTGTGAATATACTTTCTCAAAACAGACCACATTTCTCTCCCTCATGTGCTACAACTTTGGAGTAGACATGTACCATGTTAGAAAGTTGAAGGACAGTGCATTTTGGTTGAGGTAAATATACAGTCATGTTTAATGTCTGTTGACAGACACTGCTGTTGGTAACAGAGTTCTCTTCTTTTACAGCCAAAGCTACGACATTGGGAAAATGAATGTGAAATATGCCCCTGGATCCGACGTTCTGGTAACATTGGACACACAGTGTAAATTTTAGTACAAGCAATGATTACAGTTTCACAATTAAAATAGTTTTTTTTTTAAAATGTTGTCAATTAACTCCACAATAGGCCAAGATTTTGCGGCTCCTTGCTACTGTTTACTTAGAGTGGGATTGTCAGGGATTTCAGGACAAGGCTCTCAGCGCTGTCAGCCTAGCCAACAAGGTAGGATATGGTATTATATATGTGTATTTATATCTGGATATATATCTATATATATATATGTATGTGTGTGTGTGTGTGTGTGTATATATATTTTATTTATTTATTTATGTATGTATGTATGTATGTATTTATTTATTTATTTTTCTCCACCTTATTTACATTGCCATTTTGAAGCATGAACTTGGTCTGTAACTCATTTCACTGTGCAATTTGACAGGAATGTGTGAGCCCATTTGGGCTGTACCTAAAGATCAAAATACTCCTGAGATGTGGGGCCTCAGACAATCACATCAGAGCAGGTTAGCTAATACCAGATCACAACGCATTATTTAAACAGAATTTGATTACCACAGGCCCCAGTAAGGTGTCATTGGCTGAGAAGCTGGAGAAGTAGATTGAAGAATAAACTGCTGCTAGTTTGATCCTATGAAACCACCAGGAGTCTCTACAGTCATTTAACAGCTCCAGAGGCTTTTACAACTCAAGTTGGGTGTTCCTTAGAGGTGCTCAGGCCCCAACAGTAAAAGATAGTGTTTATACTTGGACCCTGCAAAGTGTTAATGTGTCTCTAAGGGGGACTTAAACAGAGTCAAAAATGCACATTTGAAAGTGGCTCATAAAAATATGTTTTCAGGACTAAATGAAATGCTGGAATCAGAGGCATCTGTTGAAGTGTGTCTGCGCACAGTGGAACTACTCATGTGTGATGACAGGTAAACACCTTTTGCACCTTTGCCAGTAAACTGTCTTAGCTCTTTGTAGAAATGCACAACACACACACACAAAGACAGAGCCTTAAATGAACATGTCCACATTTCTTTGTAGGAATGCCCACACATATACTATTCAACTCTGAATAATATCTGTTTTGATTTTCCCAGAGAAGTGCTGGCATTTGAGTATTTGAAAAGCGTGTGTCAGCACTTTGAGTCGTCCCCTGACCAGGGAGCTGCTCTTGTCTTGCACATTGAGCTGCTGCTGCAAAGAGGCAAGGAGCTGCTGGGAAAACAGAAGATAGAGGATATAATCACTGGTACTTTTTTGTTGTTGTCAGTTTTATAATAAGTCCAATTTTAGGGAAAAATAACATGACAGGGTTTATAGTAATGCAAGTAATGGACTTTAACTGTGCTGTTGTTTAAGTATAACAAGTTTTTACACCCACACAGGCCACTATACAGGAAAACAGCTGACTCCACAGGCCCTCACAAAGCTACATGTCATCCTGTGGGATAAAGCAGCCAAACACTTTGACGTATGTTAAGTACAGCATTGTTTATCCATATGTGTGCATATATATATATATACAGAGTTATTAGCATGTTCACCCAGCATTTACCCCTGTTGCGTCATAGCAAGAAGGCAGTGGCCCCCCGCCTATCTCTGTGGAGTTTGCATGCTTTTTTCTGTATATGTGTAGGTTTGCTTTGAGTACTGACACCAAAACATACATGTCAGGAACACTCCTATATTACTTTTAAATAGCATACTGGCCTCTGAACTTGTGTTAGTCTCTGATCCCTGTATTGTGGTTTTCCTCTGCTCCTAAATAGTGCAGTCAGATAGGTTGCAGAGGTTTAATTGGGGTTTAACGTGGACAAATAAACTGGAGCTGAATGTTTCTGTTTCTTTCCAGACCAGCAACTATTCTGAGGCTCTTCAGTGGTATAACTACTCCCTGAGTTTCTTCAAGGCAGGTCAAATGGAGCCCAACTTAGCCAGACTGCAAAGGAACAGAGCGTCCTGTTTCCTGCTACTTAAACAGCTGGAAAAGGTGAGACGACTTGAGCAACAGTAGCAGTCATTGAAATAAATTAGTTGTCCAGGGGCTGCAGTAGATGGTGCATGTCAGAAGTTTTTTCATGTCACCTGTCACAGTGGTAAGTGACAGATTATGCATATTAAAATCTGTGTTATCAGGCTAAAGAAGCAATCAAGGAAGCAGAGAGATGTGATCCTGACTGCATTTTCACTCAGTTCAGTGTTTACAAGATTGCTGTCCAAGAGAACAATGTGGAGAAAGGTACCTGCAAAATAATAGTTTTGTGACGCATATACAGTACAGGCATACAGGGTACTAGTATTGCAATTTCACAACGGCTACATTGTCAGCTTATTCTCTTACTTGCACCAGCTGCAGAGGCACTGAATGCAATGGGACGTCTTTCCAAGAGTCCTGTAGCCAGTGAGGACAGACTGCTGGTGTCTGAGAATGCTGCTTCCTGTCTCTTCAGTCTGAGTGCTCAGATTGCGTTGGAGGTAGAATTCATCACAGGACTTGCTGCTCGTTTCTGTACACCAGTCATAAAATTGAGGTCTGATGGAGTTATCATCACATTTCCCAGTATTGTGGTATTATTATAATGATATTGCGCCGTATCAGTGGTTCTTGCAGCTTGGACAAATCTCAGTTTAACACAGTTGGTTGTGTTTGTGTCTGGGAAACTGATGAGGGATCTTGTCCTTGTCACTGAACTCCTACAGTTGTTGAGACCGCTTGTGCAGGAGGGGTTGGGATCTGAGAAGAATAGTCTGATAGCAGATTTTTGGGCCTGTTACACTTTTCCAGAAAAAGCTCCTGACTGTTGGGTAAAACAGTAGGCTGCAGTCAGAGATAAAGCATTGCTGTGTGCCACCTTTCCAGGCCTATTGCACATGGATGTATAACAAAATACAGACGCATGTTGAAGTTTAGCGTTAATGATAATAGACACGTTGTAAAAAGAGATATATTCCCTTTCCCAAGCTGCTATCAGCAGAGACACTGGACAACAACCAGTTGTTAGAAAAGCCTGTCTTTAGTACGCTGTGTGTTTGTGATGAATATGACTGTTGGTATTAATGATGATGACGGTGTTTGTTTCCCTCTGACAGAGTGGACAGAAGGACACTGCCAGAAAAGCTCTAGAGTGTGTGTGTAACAACTCTGATGATGAAGATAAGATTCTGATTGCTCTGAGGTCTGTGAGAACTGGAACAGAACATAAATATACAAGTGAAGAGTATCACACCAAAATACACAACTTATCTCAACTTAATTCAAATAATATCAGATCAGACATGAACGATGTAACGTGAGTGTAGGAAGCCAGAAAATATACACTGACTCGGGAATCTTATACTTTTTTAATAAGAGACATGGCCAATAAACATGTGGGTGTAGTGAAAATCACTACGTTACCCAGTGGAGGTTTTTTAGGTCATAGGAGGTGTACTTGTGCAGAATTGTTGCCACCGATCATCATGTTTTGAATCCTTTGTTTTCATTGTGTTAACTATACAGGACTATTTTGGATATAGGTAAAAATGTGAATGACCTTAATATTAACCTCTATGTTTGTTTACAGAAATAATGTTTAGTTTTCAAGAACAGAAATATTGACTTGTGAATTTTATATACCAAATTTTAGCACTTTGTTTTCATGTGTTTACACGGAACATGATGGTGGGGTTTCACTTATTCAATGACCACATGTGGTAGAGGTGCCTTTGAGATTGTCTGAGTCTGTTAGTTTTTCATACACCTCAATGATCCACTGACCTATATTCCTTTTTACTTCTCCACTGAAAGTGTGTCTCTGTCTAATACAGTTAGTAGGTGAAAGAAAGGAGGTCAACACCAGTTTCTCCATTCATATTTTCATAGGTGTTTGGTTCGGCTTGTGCTCCCCGCAGCAGAAAAACCAGATGATGAGTTGAGGTAAGGGAAAGAGAAAGTAACAAATAATTATATAGTATTATCGGTGCTGGTTTTGATAAAAATCTAAACATGGTTTAACTGCATTCCCCCGTGTAGTGATGTGAATCTGGATATCCTGCTGTCATATGTAAAAATGGGTGAGTACGTATTTGACAGGGGTTAAAGAAATGAATTGGGAAGAAATGTCTCAACTACAGTGCTTGCTGTGCGTCATAACCCTCAAATGTTTTGTTTGCCATCTCTGCAGCTCTGCAGACACTTTCACACCATTCTCACATGACTGCTGAGCAACGCACAGAGGAAGCTAACTGGTTCAGAAAGACTGGTACTAAGACTCTTTCTTTCCTTGTCACTTCAATCTGACGTGGTATGCTATCACCTAAAATATTGCAGCACCTTCATTTTGTCAGCGTGTGTGTGTGTGTGGGCTTGTGTGTGTCCTTGTTACAGCTTGGAACTTGGCTCTGTCGTGCGAGAGATACCCTGACAGAATGAGGGATTTCTTTGTGCTCTCCTACCAGGCAAGTACCCTTATGAGCTTTGTCAGGTGAATTAATCAGTATCTACTGTATGTGGGTGTATGTCAAGAACACCTGAACAGGGATTAAATTTTGCTTTAGAAAGACAAACACATCAGTTTACGATAACAAGGATAGTTGACTTTCATACCTTGACTTTATCACAATACATGTAATTGCACACAGTGACGCATTCATGCCTTAGAACACCTCTTAACAATTAGAAGCTTGTGCTGTTGGATGTTGACTAGCTGTTTCAGAGAAACCTGGATGAACTTCTTTATTTACTCAACAAAAGTAGACATCAAATAAGGAGGGACTGTTATTTCTAACCCCCTCAGATCAGAAGCCACTGTGTTCCTCTTTTTCTCAACTATGTACTTGCTGTGCTATCAAGGATTTGTTATTTTTGTCACATACATGTGTGCATCTGCATGAACCTACAGCTCTCCCAGCTGTGCCCTCCTGATCGCACACTGCTCATGGGCCAGAGGACTTGTCTGCTAATGGCTGCTGCTACCTCTTTGGAGCTCTGCAGGAAGTCTCCTCACTCCGCCCAGGTGTGCCACCCACTGCCCATCTCCTACATTTAACACGCTCTCCATCCACATGGATGGAAATTTACCAAGACCAGTAGAGAGGAGAGGTGACTAACAACATTATTGGTGCTGGCGTAGGTGTTTCATTTTAATCCCTCTGCCTTTGAAGAGGAGCTGAACACTAGATGGCGACGATGAAACCAGAATGCTTGTTGTGTGTCTCTGCTTCACAGATTGAGGAGCTGACTCAAGCTCTGGAGCACATTCTGATGTGTTGGGAGATCGGGAAAACCTTGAAAGCATCAGGTACATGAAGCAGCCACATCATCCAGACAACAGCAATGTTTTGTTTTCACAATGCGGATAATAGTTAAACCCACAATATCCAAGGCATAAACAAGGCCTAGTTTGTTTAGGTCTTTCATGAATCAAAATTGTGCCAAGGAAATGTATCTTGAACATGTACTTACAGGAAGCTTCCCAGCGGACCCAACAGATTCACTGCTGCTGCTGTATGAATTTGAAGCACGGGCTAAACTGAATGACCCCAAGGTTGAGATGATACTGGAGTCCGTCCTTGAGCTTGAAAATGTAGAAGCCAAAGTGCTGGAGGCCATTGCAGGTTAAAAAACATTTGCTGCATTAATGTCATTGCTGCTGAAACACCTAACAAAACAGAGATGCTAGTATTTGCTAGTACTTACCACGTGCTTGCATCCTTTTTATCTCGATATGCAGCCTTAGCCATGGAGCCTCCAGCCCACTTCCCTCTGCTGTGTAAGAAGGCCCTGAGGGTGGCTCTCTCTCTGCACAAGAAACAACCACAGCCTGACCTGGCCCACTGCAGGCACAACCGCCAACACTCTGCATTAACACACCCGTGACGTTTCATTAACGATCCATTTCCACTAAATTGCCATTAGGATGAAAGGGTTTGTGATTGCGTGGCTGTTTTGTGTGTCCCCGTCTCAGCAAGTGCATTCATACCCTGATCAAGCTGTCCCTCCCAAGTGGTGTGTCAGAGGTGGAGGCCCATGTGCTCAAGGAGGTGTGGGACTACTACGTGGAGGCCCTGTCCATCATCGCAGCCGCAGTGAGTCAGCACCAATCACACATCGACATCCCTTGGCACCCACCTCCTGTTCCCTCCAACAGAAATGCTCCCTGCTATATAATTAACCCCCTCTCTTCCACTCCATGCCTGCCTGCTGTTCTAGAAGCCTCTTTTTATCAATGGGCTTTCAGCCGCACTTCAATTAGCAGATGCTTCCATTCACCACCCCTTCCTGCCAATTTGAATGTTAATGTGCTGCACAAGTCATCACACTGCCGGTGAGCTCCAGCTCTGAAAGAGACATGAAATTATTGAGACATTACGCTGCTTTAGAGGCAGTGCATATTTCCCCTTTCATATTGAGTTATTACTTGAAAGCTGTGGAATTCTTTGGATCAAAGTGAAGGGACAAGATTAAAGTGTTGTGAAATGTGAATGAAACGTTGAAAACGAGATGGTTCATGGTCTGTTTTTAAGACTCACAAGCAGTAGTAAAGGTTAACATACAAACGGACAGGATTTGATGAAAGTTTACTTGCTGCCTCATCGCTCTAAAAACGATTTTGTCGAGTGCGTCACCCAGGTGGCCTCTGTTAAAAGGCCTTTTGAACATCTTCCTGCTCTTCTCTGCAGCCGGACGACTTCCCAGAGATGGAGACCCTGTGGTTGCTGACTCGGGCTTGGAACACGGGGATATTGCTGTACAGCTTGGCTCAGTATCCCGAAGCCGAGAAGTGGTGCGGCCTTGCCATGAGCTTCATCCGCCACCTGGGATCTCTTCAGGAGACCTATGAGACACAGGTAGAGGACTGGTGGAGGGGAAAGGAGGCGATGAAGCAGGCTGGGGTGGCTGTAGCATGACACAGCTTGAATCCTCCTGCTGAAACACAAAGGTCTTAGCAGAATTAAGTATATAACTGTCACTGTGGACCTTCAGTGTTACTCACCAAAATGCATTAAGTGTATTTTTCAGACAGAACATGTTGAATAATTAGTTTCCTTATAAAACATTTGCACAGCTGATTTTTTTTTTTTTTTTTAAGTTTTTAAATTCAACTTTGGAATATTGCGACACAGCTTGTCGGACCGTGAATTTTGTCACCAAAGGTTAACAAAATAAAAACTCACGAAAAGAAAAACATCTCCACAGTACTACTCGTGGTCTAAAAATCTTCAAGATAAACAGTTGATTCTCATGTTCCCCCAGATGCCTGGTCTCTACAGTGAAATCCTGGACAGATTGGACAAAGCAAAGAGAAACCACAACATGGAGTACTAGAAACACTGGGACAGGTCAGCTGTTGTTTTAAACCCTGTTCAGAGCATCAATTGAAATCTGTTCTGTTCCATTAGTTTGTTGCAGGTAAATGTTCTTAAGGTTGTGAAAAAATCAAATTCAGATATTGCACAGTTCTGTGCAACTGTGGGGCGTCCTGCTAGACCGCCACATTTGTTTCCATCTCCGTACTTTAATAAAATCTAAAATGCCAACAAAAAAAAATCTCTTTAAAAAGTTTATATAATTGAAGTAGTTCGGGTTGTTTTCAAAGCTAATGCTTAAACCAGAATAACAAGCACGTCAAAATCATAACTGAGTCACATATTTTATTTTCAAACAAATAAACTCTTGTCAAGTCCCAAAATAAAACCCAAACAAAAGTTGCAGGACTGTGTTCCCTCATGACTAGGACAGGGAAGACCATGAGGCCAAGTGTCCTGATAGGCTGTACCACCTGCAGTGACAGGAAGGAAACTACTGTACAATCAAAGGGTTCATGTTTGCAAGCACTTACTGCACAGGTGTGCTATAACATAAACATATCATCACCCAAAAGTACAAACAAGAACCCTGACCCCCCCACCCAAAAAATAAAAGCATATATGTCGTCATTTCTCTCATCAGAACAAAGACCCTCATCAATTATACACACACAGAGGCATTCAGGTTCCATCTTGTTACCACAACCTCAATGGAAAGAGTAAAATGAAATCAAGTTCTTTGGGCTTTGACATGGCTGACTGAGGTATGAATACCACACACATTGTTAACAGTCAGCTGTATTTCAACTAAACACCAGAGAAGACCAATTCTAAACTTCTAATAATGTATTGATCAACGCTCCTGGTTTCTGTGATATTGTGTAGGTTTCTGCCTGCATCACTTTATTTTACAATATATTTTTTTTTAAATCTATACACCCAGACACGTTCCACAAGAAATCACATGTAGACAGGCCCTACTTGAGGGAATTGAATTCCCAACTGACTAGTTAAGTGTTCCAATAGGCATTTGAAGAGAAATACCAACAATACAGCACATTTGTATGGAAATTATATCTCAAGAGTAGCTCAAACTTTACTTACCTGACATTTGTGGTCTATAAAACATGTTTGTCCCAGTTTGATTCACACATGCATGAAGCACAGGTGAGGGGGATCTGCTGGGGGCTTATTTACATTGTACAGCTACCACACCCTTTGAAACAGTCTGCAAGCAGTTTATAAATGGCTCTGTTCCCTTCGGTTATTCCCTGAACTCTGGTTTTGACACAGGTAATGACAGCTGGTTTAGCAGTGGTGCCTGGCAGGTGGGCACACCTGTTCAGAAAATGCCTGCAGGTACAGGTGCTCTGTGGGTGGGAGAGAGCAATGGACCCAGAGGTCTAGGTTAACACTTCTTGTTGGGTCTGGCTCTCTGAGGAGAAAAAAAAAATAAAATCCCTTTGCACTCTTCAAAAAGCTGAGGAAGAAAGCGAGAATGCTGGCAGAATTGGGGGCCACAGGACTCCTTCAGACGTGCCCTCTCACATGCACACGTCGGCATACAGCGCCAAGATCTGCACAGAAAGGCAGAGCGGGTCATTTCAATCCTCGTGATGCCGCACAGCATAGGTTACCAAACCGATGGCCTCGAACAAGCTCCCAGCCCCGCAAGAAACAGAAGACACGCAATACGACCTGATAACACCATCCAGTTGAAAATGCCTTTAACTACACGACAGTGCCATGAGTACTCATTTGTTCACAACTACAAACTCTGTGTCATCGCCCAAACATGGCCGTTCAGTCACAGGGGAAATGGTATCTGTACGTTAAGATTCCTGAGCTGGTCTAGCTCACCCCAGACACACTAAGAGCTCAAACACAGTGGTTCAGCACCTGCCAACAACAGATTCATGAAGAATTCATACGTTTATAGATACACAAAGCATATAGGTTTACTCAAACCCAACTTTAGTGTTGTTTTTGGTAGGGGGACAGGGGGACAATCCAAACAGGTTATATTGACTCTTTAATCGTTAGGACATCCAATACAATTATTGTCTTGTTCTACCCGTTTTAAGGCCACCGTCATGGCGGCAGATAGGACAGTACCATGTGACCAATCAGAAGAGAATCCTCTGGGAAGGCAGAGAGTGTAATAGGGTGGTCTGCTGCTCAACATGAGTTAGGAGGCTCTGGCTGTCCAAATTGTAATCCAATGGCCAAATTCTTTAATTACACTGAAAAAAGTTTGATATACAGAGAAAAGGCGCCCACAGAGGTGAGACTCTATATATATCTATATATAGATATATATATATAGATATATCTATATATAGATATATAGATTTTTTAATTATTTTTTTAAATCTATTGCACTCAAGTCAGGCCTCCTGACAGTTGGAGGACACAAAAAAGTAAGGAAAGATGAGAACGTTTCCTCTCTTTTCCTCGTCAATTGTGTGCAGCCTCCCTCACAGACAACAGGTAGTCACAAAACAGAATTTGTATTTGATGTAAGGCAGTTTGGTGTTTTGCAGAGAGCCCAGTTACACTTCTCTACCCCCATCCTTTACACAGAGCAGCTAAAAACCACAAGCAAAAAATCCCACAAGAAAAAAAGAAAAGAAAAAAAAAAACAAAACAAAAAAAAAAATGAAATCTAACAGCCCTCCAAATTGACAATTCTAGTGAAGTGTAAAATGTGTAGTTTTTAATATGTAGTAAAATCTCAGTAGGATTTTATCATTTATCTTGTGATTTCATAATATAAATGTAGAGATTCACAACGCATTTCTTCCTCTTGATCTGCCTCCCAAGATGTCTTTATCGGCTGCAGCACAGACAACTGGCAGACGACCAAACAGCAAGCTGGTTTGTGATAAATAGATCACCAGTTTGTAGGCTCCTCCACTAATTTCCTCAGTCATTATAAACAAGAGAGATGACTCCTCGAACAGTACCATCAGCAGGGCTCGATTTTATCCAGTCCTTTTAGAAAAAAAAAACCCCTTAATTGGTCTTCAACTTCTCATCTTGCGTGTCTTTTTAAATGTGATTTGATGAACATTTACAAAGTGTTCCAACTTGGTATGATTTGTCTCTGTTCCCCTGCAACTTCTTTTTGAATCCCAACTCCTCTCTCTAGATTTCTGCAAAACATTCTGATCTTCAGTCAGTCTCAGTTCACAAAAGGATTTATTCCTTTTCCCTTTTGTTTTCATTTGACAAATTCCTTTGGAATGGCATTTCCAGTCTTGAATGGATTTGTTGAGAAACTCATGCAGGGGTGTGCACAGTCACAGTAATGGTGATAAGACTTCTTTTCATTTAGAGAGTAACATAATGATGACACTAAAACTTGATATGAAACATATCTGCAAAAAGGAGGTGAGGAGAGGGGGCTATTTGGGCTTGGGTGGGGTCTCTGGGAGGCAGGAAGGGAGCTCTGCACCGATGCAGAGAGGACGGTAGAGAGCTCAGAGCTTCTCTGAGGAGGGGATCCAGATGTAGGGCCCAGACTGCTCCTCGATGATAAGCTTGATTTTGTTGTAGATCTCCTCTAGCGAGTCACCCTGTACAATAGCTGGAGGGAAACACACAAGCAGAAATATTTGTCAGAGCTAGAGTTGAAACACTAAGTCAATGAATCCGTAAGCCCATGGACAGAAAACTAATTGGACACTTCTTTTGTTGTCAATCATTTCTGCTTAAATCCTAGATATTCATCTTTCAAATATAACAATTTACCAAATGTCTGCCTTTCATTATTTCAAATTTAATATCTTAATTTCAAACTGTTGTTTGGACAAAGCAAGAATTGTGAATTTTCCTTCCATCATATAAGCAATTAAACCTCTCAAAGTGATCTGTATAATTAGCAAAGTGCAACATAGACATGATGGATATTTTAGAGGCACAGACCAGCTAAACCAACTCCTTTTAACGTGATTGTGTCATTGTCTGATTTAGCATCTTTGAATTTTACGAAAATACAGCCAGATTTGCAGCACAGCCTTAAACTTGTGCGTATGATGAGTTTGCCGTTTCGAATTTAATATGTTTAGATTTCAAACTGTTCTTTGGACAAAATAAGACATGGAAACTTTCTTTCTTCACGTGGTAAGCAATTAAATACTAAATTAATCACAACTGACACACTCCAACTAACAAGCTGGTTGACTGACTTTGTTCCAATTATTTCAAAACATATTTGAAAAACTAGTTCTTTGAGTTTTTAGACGGTTGGTCAAGAAATTTGAAGACATCACTTTGTGCTTTATTGACAAATATGTTTAATGATTATCTGGCAGTTTATTAGCTGATCTACTAACTGAGAAAATAATAGAGGTAAAAGTCATCGGCTACAGCCCAAATCAGAACTACAGATATTCATCAAAGCAAAACAGCAGTGAGACCAACCTGTGAAATACTCTCCAAAGTCCTGCTCCAGCTTAACTGCCTTGTCAAAGACTTTATTGGCCTGCTCGAACGTCTGCCTCTTATTCATTTCCCTGAAAACAACGGTAGTCATGGTTAGTCTACCAGACACACTCAGACCTGATGATATCCTGATCACAATTTGGATAAAGGCTCTCGACTTACATAAGGGCTTCAATGGATTTTGGTTTAATAAAGATGGCAATCGGATAAAGTTGTGCTTGCTGCAGTCGCTTTATGGCATTCCCAGACACATCCAGAATACAGTGTTTCCCCTGCAGGCAGATAGAGAGCGCTTTGTTAATAAAACTTGTCAAATAATTATATTCACCATGGGTTGATTGTGGTTCTTATAAAACTACTTAAATTAAAAACGACAAGCTCATGATTTTGGGGAAGGTTAGTAGTGGAGCCTTTTTAGGATCTAGCAGACCACCTAATGTGCTTCTGTTTGCACCCCGAACCCAATCTGGTAACCAAACCCTACAGAGAAACACAAGTCCGGATGCCTACCCTCTCAGCCACAGTTCTGACAGACAAGATGCTCGTCCCATAGAGGTTCTCATTGAACTGGCCCGCCTCTATGAATTTATTATCCTGAATGTCTTTCTCCATTTGCTCTCTTGAAGCCACAAAGTGGTAGTCCTGGCCGTCCATCTCGTTCTCTCGCCTCGGACGAGTTGTATCTGCAGAGGTGAATGGAACAAGTTTATTTTTGTCTCCGCTGTTATGTTTAGTGCACTGCTAAGAGGTGTCGCATGTTGTCAACTCACGTGGTACGCATGAGCCAAACTTGTGGGGAAACTCAGAGATGAGGTCATCGTTTACTCTGTCCTTCATTGGGCCCAAAATGATCACAGGCCTTGTGTAGTGTACTGCATCGGAGAGAAAGAAGGTGGTTGAGGATACATGCAAAAACACCTATTGTGCGATTTGTGCTGCATGTTTTTATCCCCATTTATAGAGAAGTGATTCACTCACTTTCCTGTCGAATGACTGGCTCATAGGAAAGAATCGTGTCCTCCTGACCCTCTGTAATAACGCGAAACAGAACCATTAGAAATTTACATCTCGTTTAAAGAAACAGAATTAAGCTGTCATGGCTGATAAATCTCCAAATGAATATTAAGTTACAGACATCATTTCACAAGTAAATTTAACGACATCTACCCTGTTATTCATCTATGTGGGCAGTGTAAAGCAAATCAGAAAGACCATGAGAAATTAAGGTGACTCACTCGAACTACTTTCGCTGTCACTTGTGTTGGATGTCAGGCATTCTGCAAAAGCAAAAGAGAGTGAGTTTCAGATCGTATAAAAAAAAAAAAAAAAAAAAAAAAAAAAAAAACAGTATAACCACAGTCGCATTAAAAGAAAGTCTCCTCTTATGAGTGAAAAATATTTTCACCGGCCTCAGGGAAAAAAAGCACCCTGTTTCTCAACAACTAGGCCATTAAAAAAAAAAAAGGGAATAAAGAAAGCAGAAGCCTTGTTTGGTGCGGCAGCCATGCTCTTGAAATATTAGGGAAGTGGTTTTAGGTGCAAGCAATAGGAAATTAAGTGTTTCCTGTGACAATATCCCAAATGAGCCACAATTCCCTGGCCAATGTTTCCTATTGCTAGATCTGTGCCTGTGGCAGCGGATCTCATATCAAGGAAAAGACAAAGAAAACATACAGGCGTTACAGCATCCACAGAAGGGAGGCAGGAGCTGGCTGTCTCAGGGGAGCTAGAGGAAAAGGTGTTTCCAGCCAGATGTGGCAACACCCTGCTCTGGTGACAGATGTACTGTAGCTCTATGTGACCTTATATGACAAAACTATACTAAACATGTACTGTACAGGCCCTGTGAGACATTCAGAATAAGTGTAACGCACACTCACTCTCCCTTGGGAATGCATCTTTTAAATGTACTGTGAATCTCAGTAGGTGTGGTTTTTTTGTGTGTGTGAGCCTGCACATAGGTCTTCGTGTGTGTGTCACTCTAAATGTGTGTGGTTTTTGCATTCCCAGCTGGGTCTGCAGTGACAAAGCATTCTTCTCTGAGCTCAGGGGACAGCTGCTTGACACAGTACAACCACACACTTACTCAAACTCTTTGATCCATAAAAGTCATCGCTTAACCCTGGGAAGTCCTAGGTGTCCCGACAGGTGAGAGCAGAAACCAAGAGAAGAAAGCAGACAGGAAGAAGAAGAGGTTAGTGAGAGTTGGGGCAGAGAGGGAGAGGAGTGCAGTGTAGTGCTCACCAGGCCCGCTGACACATGGTGCTGTGGTACTCATTAAGCCTGAGCTCCACTTTGTTCATAGTAAGCCACGGCCTTTCAATTACACAAGCCCAATCCCATTAAAATGGGATTTTGACCTGTTAAGTGTTAAAGCTTCAGTCCAGTTAATGAGATTCTTCTTGTTGTGGGTCAGTGACTGACTGGAGAATTGATCAGGACTTATACAAGGAGTAGCATCACAGTATTAGAAGGCCTGTGTGTTAATGCAGCCAAGACCTTGCAAACACACACACAGCTGGCAGCGCACACAGCTACACACTCCTCTGGAGCCCATAGACAGATGCACAGACACAACAGAGAGAACCCCACATCTCCTGCCTGGTGATGTTGGCTCTGGCATGTGGGGCATCTCTCTGGGACAGTGAGAAAGGGATGAGAGTGGTGCCATCACACAAACCATCCCTGGAGGTGAGCGGAAAGATGAAAGTTGAGAGACAGAACTGAAGCATGAAGGGGAAAGGACGAAAACACCAACCCACCCCACCCTCGATCACACAGCTGGTACTCACGGTCAGGCTCCATCAAGTCCTGCACAATATTCTCCTTGCTCTTGTAAAACGGGAACTTGCGTGAGAGGTTGAAGCTTTTTTTGCGCTTTACTTTGACTGGCTGCTTGTCGATGTGTGGGTGAGAGGGAGGGGAGGGGAGGGCGATGAGAGGGTGAAAACAAAAACAGAATGGGTTTCAATGAAGGTACTCGACACTCATGCAAAAAAATAAAAATAAACCAATGAAATGTAAACAAACGATACACGTCAAATAATGAAAATGAGAAGCAGGTAATGGGTGAAAATGAACGGCACATCCATGTGAAGGAAACAGGCGTCTGTTGACCAAATTAAACATGTACCATTTTCAATCAATTGAATCTTCTTGCATAATAGATAATACAGACAATATTACAGCTGATTTATATGTGTACAAATTAAATCTGACAGATCAGCCTCTGACAAACGTGAAGACGTTTTATAAGTGCACATTTCTTAATGTCGCTGAGTGCACGAACTGTGGAGGTTACAGAGACAGCTCATCTCCAGAGCTTCTGTGTAAGCTATACAGTAATACGAGTGCTTTTTGTGCTTGCTTCAGTGAGCAGGTGCTGGTCCCTTTCCCACACTCAGGGGGAAGTAGGCCATCTCCCTGGGAGCCCAGCAGCAGCTCTGAAGACAGCCGCTCTGGCACCAGGGCGGGGAGCAGCTGGCCCTCTACACTTACCCTGTTAGACTCAATCATGCCTGTCCTGGCGTGGAACTTGACTGTTTTTAACCTGGCCCGCTCCTTCTTCTCCACTCTAGAAAAAGAAGGAGAAACACTTCCAAGTTTAGGCTGGGATTCAGTGGAGGTCGTCATATTATCCTCATCTGGCATTAGTGCAGTGCTTCAAATGAAGAGGGACGATACCTTTTCTTGCTGGGAATGACCCCAATCTGCTCGCTCTCTCCATGAGGTGTGACAAGTCTCGCCTGCCACCACTCGTCATCAGAAGCATTTATGACATGAAGGATATCCCCATAAGAGAAGCTCAGGCCTTGGCTGGGCAGGCAGCTGTCCCTCGTTCGGTCGTAGTCAAACAAAGCTCTACGAAGACAAAGGCTCTGGTTACACCCTATTTTATCTTGGATTTCTGTGCAAAGATTCCACATGAACCAAGATCAAATTACCGCACCAAGTGTCCAAAGTTGGCACAAATTAGCAGTTATGAATCTGCAGCATTACATAATTGGTCTTTGCTACTTTTTCTATTACTTCACATTGCTGGCATGTGGGCTGTGATGTGACTAGATTTAAAATACGTGGAAGTCAGACAATAATGAAGGATCTTGAAAGTTATGTTTGATACAGCCGTTAATGCCTCTTACCGCATTTGACTGTGACAAGATGATAACAGTTGAATTGAAGTCACTAGTTTATATATAAGCCCTGAGGCTGCCACTAAAGTCTATTTTAATGATGCGTCACTTAATCTGAACAATTAGTTTTCCTCAGAAAAAGCAAAAGGGCTATTTTGTTTAAGTTGATTTTATTTTTTGACAAATTATGTCATTGGATAATGCAGCACAGAACAAAATGTAAACAAAGCTTTACATATCAAAGTGCAAAACCTTAGGGTTAAATTTGAAACTCCAGCATGAAAAAACAAACTAAAAAAAGAGAGGGCTTATTATTAAAGTGAATGGTGCAACTTCAGTTTCTATTAAACCCCTTAACAAAGTAAAATGATAGCTGTCTACTAAATCTGTAACATGGACACGGTGGATTTTTTAAAAACGCAAACAGCAGCTAAAGCAACTCCCTTTTCTCTTACTGTGTAATTGCTGTCTGACTTTGGTAGTAGCTTCAAATTGAACTGAAATACAGTCAAATTCGCAGCACAGTCATTGTATTTGATTTGTGTGATTCACTGTCACGTTTTTCAAAGTAAGATTTTTAACAGTTCACAGCAGTGGCTTGGAAGTGACTTCTGCTTAACATGTCGTTGTAATAGGCTGCGTTTTAGTCTCCATTTCATACTCGTTTTGTTGTCTGATGACAGTAACACATAAATATGTAAAAGAGCAATGCTTTATTGGTCATCGGAACTCTACAGTTTAGAAACCACCTATTAGCTCTGTGATCATTTTCAGCATTCCCATACTTTTGAAGATTTGTGTCCAGTCTCGTGATACAGAAAAGGAAAAAAATAAAATAAAACTTGTTCCAATGAATTGAAGTCATTAAGAATTACTATTTCAAACCAATGCATCGGTTTAAAATATTCATCTTAGTTATGCCAACAGTTCTAATAACTATACAGACGTAAGGTGGAGAGAAGTGTCACAGTCCATTTAGGACAACACATATGAAAGCATGCCATTCATAACTGTCCATGTGACATTATTACCTGCTGCTTCCACATACTTTCCACGACAAACATACACTGTTTATTGTCTGTCTGAGTGCGTCACTATCCTGTTGGACAGGTAAACCCACAACCGTTTCTAAAGGTATTAATACCTGTTTTACAGGTTTCAACTTCTCTTGACCTACAAGCCTATATCCACAGGCAACATCATGGTCTGGTGAACAAACAGGCTCTGACCAACATGCACTACATGATTTCTCGTCCGTTTCAAGATTTGAGCCAGCCTACGTCTGCCAACTATAACTGCAGCTGGCTATGCATAAACAGTAATAAAGAAACTGTCATAAAGAGAAAGCTTATCAGTTCCTGCGCTTGAGAGGGCAACAAGTGCATTTTCATCATAAGCTAACGAACGATAATCAAATTCCCTGCCTTTGCAATGTTATAGCACCTTGACATACTTGTGCTACAGAGAGTGTGAGCACACGTGACACTTTTTTTTTTGAAGCGCACCTTAGAGGTTGAACGCCTCCGCATTCCTGAGGCTGGGCTGGGAGGACATGGCGGCTCCCACATCAGCCGGCAAACTAGACAGCTTTTCCAACATAACTGTGGGCTTAGTCACCCGCACAGGAGCAGGCTAGGCTCTACATGCCTCATCGGAGTTAGTCTATAAGAGAGGCATGAGTCAGACTGCTTAACACCCCTCTGACTATAGCAGGTCTCCAATGAGGTAACACCTATATACTTTTGATACATCCGCGTGAAGTCCATTTCTATCGAACTTGGGCTCAATCAATCTAGTAATGTAGCTATTAAGCTTAGGTTAAGTGAAGCGCATTAGTGTTTCAGCAGAAATACGAGGAAGCACTTGGACTATGGAGTTACATCACACAGTCCTTTTTTCCTTGACCCCTGTGAGTCCATTGTGACTCGATGCATTATTGTGAGCAGAAGGATGCCACCTGTTTTAATTCCTAAATGAGCCGCCATCCAGTTTGGCAACTGGCCCAAAGTGTCATAACACAGGTCACGTTGACAAGCTCTACTGTCGATCTACATTAAGCAAAGTAGAGTCAATGTCATACGTGGCATCAAAACAACAGGGAATGTCTGTCCATCAGCTTTTAGGTGATGATGAACAGTATCAACCCAATGGCCTAAATTAAATGTCATCCTACAAATAGATCGGCATGAAATATCATGTCTTATCACACGATCTATGCCATATGTGTCATGCTGCTGTACTCTGACAGTGCTACTGCTGTTGACAACACGTGCATTCAGGCTTTATTGTCTCCCACAGACAGGTCGAGTTTTATTATGCAAGAGTGCTTATTTTGACTGCAGATCTTAGAACTGATGTGGTTAGTGCAAGCATGACTGTGTGTGTTGGTCTGTGGTGTGTGTGGTGTGTGTGTGTGTCAGCTTTACCTGACATAGAGGGAGCGTTTCTCACTGGTGCGCAGGGAGCCTGATCCTGAGCTCATGCTGCTGTTCATCATCTGTTCCCTCAGGTCGTGGATTTTAGACTCAAAGCGACTATACTCTGCATAGGGGGAAAGAAAAAAAAAACACAAACTGGGTCAAAAATAGGTCCTCGAAAATTAACACCACCCCTTTGGGCTTTAAAGTTGATATACCCAAAGGTTAAGGTGGTATTGGAGATCTAGAATAAAGAGACCAAAGAGCGTTGGACCCTGCTCTGTTGTTTAACTAGGATATTATTGGAGGTCTGTGTCTCGGTTAGCGCTGCAGTGAGCTAGAGAGAATAGAGGAAAGGTTCAGCGAATCCTTAGGCTGATTAATGACCCCAGGAACAGATGGTTTATCACAGATCTGCCTTACACATCCAGTAATGTCTCATGTCAGGTAATTAATTACACAGATTAATTAAGTTCAACTTGGGCTCTTCAGTGTGGTTAAAAAAAGGGAAGGCCTCCAACAATTTCAAATGCATGACCATTTGTCATAGGTGTGTAAATCCAGTTGCTGCTCAGGAGCAAAGGGATGATGTATGAATCCACCTGGACCTCCTCATTAAGAATGCTCTCATTAGCCTGCTGTGCACAGCGTGCTCTGTACCCAGGCTGCTGGAACAAGCAAGGCCACCGCACCACACAGCACATGTCCACATACACAGACCGGCAGATACAGCTAGAAAAACAAGCAGGCTAAGGTGTTCATGTGAGCACACAAAGGATGTGCTGGGGCCACAGAAAGGCAGCAATTTTCTGGACAATTTTACACTGTATGCCACTGACGAAAAGAAAGGGAATCAAGTTAAAGTGTTAATGTGTCATAGATGGTATGTGCACAGCAACGTATATGGCAGAATTACATTTTGAACGACATGTGATAACGCACAATATTGCTGTAATGAGACAATATATCTATATCTTGATCATAATTGCTCTATAAAAGAACCAGTGCGAGTGAATATCATCCAGATTTCTTCCACTATCTCTTTGACTGCCATGCCTTTAGGGGCTGACTCCTACCTCACTGCTTAATCATCCATAGCTGCCAATGCTTCCTGTAACGTGAACAACATAAGATCAAAGTCCATATTCTGCTCAGGCCTAGAAGTAGCCTTGAAAAAACAAACACCTATGCCTACAAAGGTGATTCAGCCGAAGTTAGTCAAAAGCTCCCGGAAAATTCTGAGCAGGTGCAAAAACAAGCTTCAGGTCACTGAACTGTAACCCCCTGCTGACATCTAAAGGGGATTCAAAGCAAACACAGGTCTGGCTCTGGCCTGTGTACAGCTCTCCACCCTGGGCTCTGCTCAAAGGGTTAACAATACAACAGAGTGACGCTGCAAGGTGAGGTAACCAGACACCGCCTGACTGCCAGTAACCAAGAGCAACGTTCTAGCACTCCTAGAACAGGGACAGCGCACACGGAAACAGCCATTCAGACTGGTCCACTTGGCTTTCAGGCACAGGAGAGATGAGAGAAAGGAGCACAAGAAGCGGCAGCTTGAGAGAGGAGGGGCCGAGGGACAAGACAAAGAGTAGCTAAATAGAGAGAGCAGTCTTAATGCCCTGCTTCACAATACCACCAACATGAAGGGCTGCCTGAGAGCTGTGCCAGTGAGATAGGACAAGTGCTATCAGTAGCACAGGTGGTGGAGCTAAATGCTCTGCTTGTTCACATTCCTACCGTCCAGATGATTCATCTAAATACTGTGGACATTCAGGAGGAGCAGGAAGAGCACTGAACTACAATCAGGTTTAAGCCTCTGAGGGAAGTTGGTGTAGGAATCACATGACAACCATAAATTATTGCCGCACCTTGTTGATAACCGTGACATCAGATTACAAGTAATTCTGCAACACGATTTGTGTATGACACATCACAATATCTGTGTAGATCCGAGTAAGAAACCACACTGTAATCAATCTCTCAAAAACCACCAGCAGTGACCTTGTATACAATGAAGTCATTTCTAGCAATTTTACAGTCAGATGATATGAAACAGAGAGGGAAGTGAACACCTGTTACACCGAAAACGGAAGGATACTCCTGGTACTTAAAAGGATGCACTGTGATACTGTTGAATGAGAATCACAAACCATCTCACAACAGTAACACAGGACGACACATGAGAAACTTAAACTCTGTACTGACCGTTTGACCCACTTCAAATATTGAACACGTGGAGCTACAGTAACAAATTTTTCACAAGTTGGCCTGGACTATGAGGAAATAGGAAATAAGAATGCAAATTTAAGAAATTTATTTAACTGAGTGTGGTCCATGTTTAATTATCTAAAATTGGGTGCCCTTGTACGTTAGGGGTTAAGGCACTGATCACGTACTAGGGCTCAAGCAAAGCAATAACCAGTATTTGGAACTGATCCACATACGCATCAAAAGTAAAATATTGGTGCTACAAGTAAGAATAACACAAAATGGGGTGTAGTCTTCCAACAGTAAATAATTACACAAGGTAGAAACAGGTTAGGACAACAACTTATATCCATCTCCTTAAGAACAAGTCACATGTCTAAGTGTTGATCAATCCCACATTAACTATTCATGATCATCCCTACTTACAAGCACACCTCTGGAGTGCTGGGGGACTGGGAGTCTACAATTATGAATGTTAAAACCTGGCTCCTTAAAGCAATACTCAAGAGCTAAGCCATATTTTTAGGAGTGACCCACAGGAAGGAATGACAGCTAATAGAAACTGGGACTATTCTGTACCTCTAACTCCCACTGCGTGTCCTCATTAGTTGTGCAGCTTTTTTATTTTGGGGGATGGTCGCTTCTCTTTTGATCCAGTTATGCAACACAGCAGACATGTACTTGTAATGTGAGAGTGTGTTATATTCTCAGGGACAGTCCAGCCACTGAATGCACACCCTCCCCCTCCTTGATAATACAGAGCAGAATGTATGTATGTACCCTGGTGAAACTACCCCTAAAAAGCTTTGTAATGCTCACTGTGAGTTTAATGAGAGGTCATGGGGTGTAACATTTCCTTCATGCCCCTCCTCCCATTTCCTACATGCAAAAATTTTAGTGTAATTACTGGTGGGGCAGGGCAGTGTGTGAATACACAAACTTCACTTCTATTCCCGAATGAGAGCTAAAGACCGGGTGATGCTCCAATAAGCCACTGACAGTCAAGGGCGCCTCCTGCTACAGCCTCTGTGCTCTATTGTTGCTTCTTGTAGTTTTCAGTGCTGGCCTTGGATCAGAGGTCCATGGATGCCCGGCCCCGGCCCCTGAGAATACTCTCTAGGCAGTTTGCCTGGCATAAACTAGAACTCACCCTCCACTTTCCCCTCCCTGACTGACTGTCCTTGTACAGCTCACTGGGGGTTCCTCCTGCTCCAAACTCAAATGAACGACATGTCAAGCACCGCTTTAGGATGCCAGCAGAATTACTGCCGACAGATCTCAGGTCACCAGAGGGGATGCAGGAAGTCAATCATTTGCCAGCACTCGACTTGTTCGTTTAGAGTAGTTAACTACTGTACACAAACAGATAAACATCCTTCGCTGAGTTACAAAGGGGGCACAGAGCTGAAAGCATGGTTTGGTGTGGAAAACAAAGGTTCCCTTCAACTAGCCACATCATTATTCAAGATGCTGCCTGAATGATCTGGCATGCAACACAACATGAACTCTGATGGCCAAGTATTAAGATTTACAATCTGCACTTTGCAGCAGAGAAAAAAAAGTTTATTGCACTACTGTCAGCTTTTATCTCAGCCTGTGTCTTCCTTTAGCTTAGCCCCATCTCAACTCAAAGGTCATGCTATGCCTCAATTTCAATGACCTTGGAGAGTTACTGGACATTTGAGACTTGTGTTTTATTTAAAGACAAAGAAATGTGAAGTGAGAGCATGCTACAACTCATGCCCCTTCACATTCCTGTCATAGTCCGACCTGAGAACTCAGCCTGGATATAAAGCTCACAATATCCTTTCCTTTGTTGTTACAGCATTACTGCATCATGCTCAAGTACACACAAAAAGAATCACTGAAACACTGAGAAATATGCAACTGCCAAGGCAGCTGTAATACACAGCCAAGCCACAATTTACCATTATAAGGAGCGAGTGGTGCCATTTTGTTAAATAAACTTACAAAGCTGGCCAACATTAGAATTCTGCTTCAGTCAGCATGAAAAGTGGACCTGTGGTCTGAGAGCTGTATGTGCAACGTCTGCTGAGGCAGTGGTAAACGGATGTAATGTAAATATAAAGAGGTGAGCTCACTGCCCCAACCACCGAGCTGACACACACCTGTCTGACCACACCTGTGTGTCCCCACCTAAAGGTTTAGGTTACATAAGAACAGTCAATCAACAAGTTGAATGCATACTGCTGCATACAAATCTCAAATTTAATGCTACTTCGCCTGGCCTGAAGTGATTCGTATGTACTAAACGGAGAAAACAAGTCAGAAAACAAAGCAGTTCCCAGGTAATGGCAGGACTTTACCACACAAGTGGTTGTATACAGGGGTGAGGCTATCACATGTCTCCCACGGTAACTTAGCATTAATTTCAAGGTCGATATAAAGAAAGAATGTTTATTTATGCCACTTCGAGATGGCTAATTATAGTCTTTTAGTGGTGCTAGCATAAGTGCAATGTGCATTTAGTTATGAAGCTGTACTACTTAGTTGAAACTAAAGGTTACAGCTAAAGAAGACGAGCCAACTATCTCAGTACAGTAGCAATGAATAAAAGCATGTTCGACACCGAAACTCACGCGGTTTGTTTCCGTTTCAACGTGCCAGTATTTGTCGACACGTTCCCTCCTCGGCTCACCTCAGCTAAATCAAACGGTGGCTATTATTTCGCTGTCGCAGCCGGTAGTTTTCTTCATCCAGCCATTAGGGAGTTCATGCGGCGTCTGCTGTGCTGCTGTTGTACCCGAGCCCATCCCCCATCCGCTCCGGCTGGTAAACTGATAAAAGTTTGTCGCTTTCCACCTTCACTCCAACCGCTTTTAAACTTTCCTCCGGTGTACTAATGGAGGCACAGCTCGCACTTTCCGCTTAGTCTCCTCTTTCCATGGCTGTTCGCGGGAAACAGCGGCGGCGGCTCGCAGGGGCTCCGGGTTTGAACAGGGAAGGACAACAGCAGCTCGTTTGCCCGCCTTGCAGTTGGCTCAACACATCAGCCTGCTCACACGAGAGACGCCCCTGAACCTGAATACTTCCACAGCCAGCCTATCAGGAGCGCTGTCCGGAGCCCGAGTTGATCAATCATGCAGCTTCCGCCGCAGCAGGTAGATCTGACCACACCATTCAAGGAATATTCAAGCCTTATAGTATTGACCGTTTTAGCAAGTTGGAGCACTTGTGATAGATGTATTTAAAAAAAAGATTCAAAGCATCAGAGGCCGAGATATTATGACTTTCAGTGTCTCGTATGAGCTCCCCAAACATTATTTCCTACATTTCCCATAATGCAACCTGTCAGTGCAGCCTTTTGTCAGACTTTTCCTGCCTCTTAAATGGTCATGTCTATTAAAGACCCCCTCCAGGGAAAATCACGTTTTTAAAACCTTGTTAACTCCTGTTTTGTTTTTGTTTTTTTACATCCGAGAATACACTGTGTGTGAAATACAAGTTTTTACACTTTGAAACTGCAGTGTACGGATGGCAGCCTAAAAAAATCAAAACATATACAGACCACAGTTTTAAAAAGATGCACTCAGTGACTAAATTTGAGAAGTAGCATGTGTCTGCAGCAGAGGAGGCTGCATTTATAGGAGTACATTTCAGTTACCCTTATTTTTCAGCTCTTTTGGGGCTAGAGAACATAGTGACCGCTTGTTTACTACACTGGAAAAAAACAAAAAACTATTCATGTACAGTTCTGGGTAGAATAGACCTTTTAAAACTATACCTCATTCATTAGAAAGTATTGTGTGGGCAGAATAAACCTTTTGAACTATTAATGCTTAGACACAAAGTGGTGTTTTGGGTGGAATAAACCTATAAAACTACAAGTACTTATACACAAAGTAGTATTTTGTTTAACCTTTAAAACCACAACTTGTTCATTAGAAAGTGCTATTGGGGTGATTAAACCTTTAAACCCGTAAGAAGTTGGACACAAAGTAGTATTTTGGGTGGAATAAACCTGATAAACCATAGACACTCCACTAGAAATAGTTTGGTGCATAACCCCCTATAAAACCAAAACAGTTATTATTATTATTACTATTATTACTACAGATTAAACAACCATGATGTTACATCTCAGTTAATTAGCTTCAAGGGTACTGGTGGGTGTATTTTGTTACCTTAAGACAGAATCAGGTTAGCATTTTGTGCTTTCAGTCTTTGTGCTAAGCTATGCTTAACTGGGGATGAGTGTGCCTTCATGTTTACCATACGGTGTAAGATTTCTGGTTAATCTAAAAGTTTTTCTCTAACTCAATGCAACAAACAAATATAAATTATTTCTTTAAACTTGATGTCATCTTCATCTGGTTTATATTGCAGGTTTTCTTTGACAAATTTAGTCTCCAAGCTTAAGCTATAATCACCCCAAGGACATAATTTGGGGTAATTTTCTTAAGACTTTAGAAAGTTACCTCTTGAGTCAAGCAAGACATTTCATATACTTTTCTTCCTCTGATTTTAATGTGTAAAAATTGTAGTGTTCTGCTAATATGAAAAAATCCCAGGATCACAGCACGTCATTTGACTTTAATTAATTGTAAATTTAATGGGGGATTTGCACTACCAACATATAATATTGATTAATGTAGGTTCTGCAATATTAACAAATTTTATGATCATATCTTATATAGACTCTTTGTCAAAAGCTATTTTTAAATCCTTTAGTAAATTCCCAAAAACAAAATGACATGCATTTTATTTTTAATATTTTGAGGCGACATTGCTCAGACAGCAATAGATGGGCGGAGGTAACAGTTGCTGCCTAGTTTGACACACCGGATGTTCATTTATTCCCTCCCTCCTGCTATCTGCATGTTACTGTTTTCTTCACTGTGGCAAACAACTGCAACAATCTCCGGACAGCAATACACACACTGAACTTCAAATCTGTTAAGGATTTGGATCATGTAGTAAGTCAGTTCTGCTAGTCTTTTTGCACTGGATCATCCATTTTGATCACATTCTTGTATCTGTCAATACAAATGTTCGACCAAAACAATTCCACTCATCACTATTTTAAAGGAACCTCAAAACCGCATCCTTCACTTAACTCCACCTATGATGACTGTTATTGGTTTAAAGAAATACAGACAAACCACAGCGTTTTCTCCCTGTAGCAGAATGACAGTGTGGTACATTCACACCATTATGTTCTACAGAATGGACTAAGTGAGACTAGTCTCTACCCAACAGGTAAATCTGGTTTAAGAATTCTTTTGGAAATAAAAGTTAGTTACATGGTGTTTTGTGGTAACTTTTCCCAGTGGAGTTCAATAAAACTGTGAGTTAAAGTCCCATTTATGGGTAAAATATTAGCTGTTTTCTTATATGATATGAAACAGTAGGGCCTCACCCTCAGGCCTGTATTGAGCAATGATGGTGACAGTCTGCCCAGCTCTCTTCAGCGCTGCAGCCGCCTGCTCATGTGTGGCATTCCTTAGGTTCACTCCATTCACCTGCAAAAAAGCAGATAGAGAAATATTTAAAAAAAAAACACCCAGATTAAATTCCAAAGGCAAATCACTTGTGTAAGTTTAAAAATCAGCACAGAAGCCAAGTCGTGCTCTGTTGCTCAAAGTCTGAATTCACACTGGATTCATTTGTAGAGATAAGGTCTGCTCTCAACATACAGAGATCTAACAATATCTATGACTGAATTATTATCCAAGTGTAGATGAAAATTCTGTTGTGTTTAGTAACTTAAGACTGTCGTTTTAGCGGTCACTAGTAGGACACATGTTGCAGTAAAGACTTTCATTCACCATTAGAGTGAATCTTTTCAACTACTTTGTGGTAATGTATTGTTAGACAGCAAGCTACACTGAAGTAAAACAGAGGAAAGTAGCACAGCTAAGCTCCCTCGGAGTTGTTATGGATTTATTAGCTTGCTCAAGGACATTTCAGCAGGGCAGATGTTTGCTGGCTTCCTAAACACTAGGCAACCTTAATTTTATCATCATTATCCTGTCAGCGGGAGCTGGCTGAAAATTCTCACTGCCTCAAACTTGATACAGCTGTTGATGTGGGCAAACACAAAAGCTTGAAGTTAAAGTACTGACAGAGAGAATCCGGTCGCCCCTCCTCAGCTCGCCGCTCAGGTCAGCTGGCCCTCCAGCCAGGATGAAGGAGACGAAGATCCCCTCTCCATCCTCCCCACCGACGATGTTGAAGCCCAGACCTGTGGAGCCTTTGTGCAGCAACACCTTCCTTGGCTCCCTGCCAAACAGAGTGACAGCGTCAGGGTGAAGGGCAGGACAGGGAGCATACGAGAGAGCTCGGGAGAGAGATATGACCAAAACTGCATTAGAAGTAGCATAAGCAGAGGGATACACAGAGATTGGGTATGACAACAGCCATCTTCTATTGGTTAGCACTGTGTATGATCCCAAAATGTCAAGTGCATCCAATTTAGGCAGCTACAAGCAGCGGGGCTGCAGATCTTTTACTGCAGATTCGCTGTGTACATATTCGAAAGTGAAAACTTTAACATATTAACTGTTCGTGTGCAGGACACCACTCACTGTGAGAAAACAATGATTAACCATGTAATAACCATGCAATAATCATAATGCTAATAAAGATAGTTGCTGATAACCACTTGGATAACACTTTGCTCATTACAGTAACACAAACAGCAACATGATTGGGTCCAAATGCCCATTATCTGTTGCTTATAGCACTTTCTGCCTATGCATGAAAATCTCATGGAAATGTGCACACGTGTACACACTTAAACACCCACTCATATTAATGTACAATGAGCCACCTCCTGCTCGACAGACCTGCCGAAGCTCTGCTTTAGCTTTAGCCACTATGACTCATCCTCCAGCAGGCTATTCAGACTGCCTCAGTTTTAAGATGCTAGAGAGGCCAAACCGCTGCTACAGTCCAGCAAAAGCCCTCTGAGAACACACTTCACACAAATGCAAACACACACACACACACACACTAGGAAGCCCAACAGTTGACTCACACACACACACACGCACTCAGACTTTCTATACAAATGAACACATAAACATAAATGCCAGCACACAAAAACACACACTGTTTCCTCTATCATCAGAAAACACTGCATGGTTCCCATTAGTGGTCTTCTCTCGCAGTACTCAGCCTGCGGTCTACAGGAACAATTCCTACTCAATCCCTAATGGCTGCGCTCAAACTTGCTGTTAAGACCATTTTCCCATCGATGGCAGTCGAGGCAGCATTCCAGACTTTCAGAATCATACCCATGACTGACTGGAAAAAGCGTTGACTGCTGCACTAAAAGAGCGGCAGAGTATGGAAACTAAACGGTGCCTGCAGCAAAGGCTGTTAAACTGAATTCATTTTAAATGAACTGAACTTAGCACAAATGCAGACTTTTTGTCAGAGCACTAAACAAGATAGATCAATAGCCATGTAGCGAATCTTTTTCTGCAGGATTCCTTAACAAGTAGTGATATTTCAAGTGAGATTAAGGGACAGATTAAATGCGACTGTACCGACAAGGCTTAAAGTATTTGCTTCATTATGTTCTTACTTTATCCCATATCTTTTTTTTTTTTCTAGAACTTTTTAGTCGGCAGAGGAACAAAAATTAAATAAAAATGACAAGTGGTAATTGCCTTTAAATATGCTGAAACAACTAACTTGCCTTGAAAGAAGTCAAGCTTAAAATAACTTCGCTTTCCATCTTGAGCTTTTCATCTCAGCTTGACAAGGCACACAGATCTCCATGGTTACCTTAGGATCCGGATCTGGTGCTTGCTTCTGAAAGAGCATTTCCTAACTGTGCGTTCAGGCAGGCTCCTCACCAGCGACATGGAGGATGAGATGTTGACTGTGAACATGTTGGCTATGGCACATTGCGCGGCTCAGCATTACTCCTCGGCCTCTCCTCCTATCTGGCCTTCCACAGAGAGGCGGGCTACAATTTTAGAAACTCCTGTGTTCGGGGCCTTGTGCTCCCTATCTCATCCTTGTGTGCTGTGATGGGAAACAGCTCCTCTTCGGGCTGTGACAATCGCTCTCTCCCTATCACCAGCAAACGCTTAACCCTAACGCTCCCACGCAAACAATTTTCCCTCCATTCTGGAGGAAGAAGAGAAGATCACCCGCCACTCACATCTGGAATGATCAGGGGCTTGGCCGTGTTGGACTGGAGGATATCCAGGTTTGATCCCCTTTCACACCGTGCTTGTTCCTCGTCTGTGCTGTGATGTGGTGGTGGGTTCAGCCCCCCTCCAGTACAGTACAGCACACCAGCATTCCTGTCTGTCAGCTTGGCCCTCTGGAGACTAGACAGATAGATTCCCAGAAGCTCCACGCTAATTTGTCAGAGTGTAAACAAACTGCCCAGGGAATGACTTTCATGACTTCGAGGCCTTTGATTTTATGACCATGTATTCTATGGCCTGGCTGCATGCTAGACAGCATGCTAGATCTTCAAACAGCAAAATAACGTACAGACTACAGCAGAATATTTTGACACATACTGCCAGCATCTTTTTCTTTCGATGCTTCTCCCCAAAGAAGCAGTATGTGCATGTGTGTCTGTCCATAGGATGTGAATAGCCTGGCCACTTTTATGGAAAAGGGGAGTGAATTCCTCCACTTTTAAAATGCAAGGATCAAGTCCTCCCTCTCCATCACAAGACCTGTTTCCCCTCCCTTCTCCCCGCTTTGCCTTTTCATCCATGCCAGGAATGTAAACAGTTATAGAGTGGTAAAAAGCCTTTTTCTCTGCCCAGCTATTTCTCTAATTCAAAGCCCACCTCCCCTCCCACAACTATATTTTCCCTCTGTGCTTCAGTGTTTTGGCTGAGGCAGCCGCGGCTCGATCCTAAAGCTGTGAATGGATATCTGGGCTGCAGGGTTCAGCGGGTCATGCTGCCCTGGACTCAGCCCAGTAATTGGCTCTGCTTGGCTGATTAATGGTGGACACTGCAGATGGACGCCATTTTCCACAGACAGACACTACCTCTCGCAGCACTTTATCTCTCGCTTTCCACAAACAGATTACATCAGCTTATGTATGGAGGCACATGCTGTCATCTGTCTTCCTTTCACTTCCTAAATTTCACCATAGATTTTCTGTGGCTGCCTCTTCTACACGGCCTGCTCTTTTCCTATAAATTGACAGGGAAACATTTATTCACCACTAAGGTGGCAGACAGTTTATACGTCCATGCCTCTCATTGTGACTAACAATAAAATCGGAGTGTTGAATGATTAACGCCTCAGCTGAATCTGCTCTGATTACATGTATTTTAAACTCCCCTTTGTGCTTTTGCGGCTTTTAAAAGTGCCAAACAAAGGTCAATGCGTTATTGATGACTGAGTTCTTGCTATAACCAGTCAAAGGTTTTGTGTTTGTTCATGTGTGTGTATGTGTGAGTGTGTCTGTGAGAGAGAGACACTAAAAGTTACTGATTAGCTCACCTGCTGCTGCAGTACTCAGGATTCTGTATTTACACAAGCTGTGCCAAAACAAAGGAGTCAAATGAGAGGCATTGTTGTGTGCAGTACTGTGCAAAAGCTTTAGGCACTAAAAGTAAAGCAAGGATGCTATAAAAACAAACAAACAAAAAAAAACATGCTGCATAGTTTTTTTTTCTTTACCTATCAACTGCCTACATACAAAGTAGTTACAAACAGAAAATTTAAATCAAATTATTATTTTCTGTGACTTCTTTGAAAGACACTTTGCAGCTTTGTTGTTTTAAAATAAAACTTTTTTTCTAGTGTATTTAGGCTGTCTCAGTGTCTTCTGTCTCCTCAAGGCTCTGTGGGGCCCATACCATCTGTGGAGCAGGACTCCTTGTTCCTCTTGTCGCCGATGATGATTCTTTTATGATTCTGGCTTGTATGTTTGGGGTCGTTGTCATGCTACAGAATAAATTTGGAACTGAGCCGAAGCCTCCCCCATGATACTGCATGGTGGATAACAATCTAAACACCTAAAACGTTTGCAGAGTACATTATATCTACTGCAGAGCCTGATATGGAAAACAGACAGGAGATTCTTGTTTAGTGATTGTGTGCACTGTGTCACCACTGCATGCAGATGTATGTTTACACCACATGCGCATAATAAACACATAGGTTTTATCTCTTATCTGGTCCAATGTGGACAGAAACAAGGATTTAAAGGCACTACTGATTACATATCTCCAGAAAGGGGGGAATATCAGACAGAGAAGGGGAAGAGGGTGTCAGGGGATGTGTCTGTGATGACACCACTGAGGGGGATGTGCAGATGGACAGAGGGCGGATACAAGCTCTGACTCATTCCTCACAACCAGCATGCTCCACTTCTGCAGAAGCCTGTGCTTACTATGGCATCCATCTAAAATAACCCTTCTTAGTTGTCGCCAATAGAGAAGCTGCTCAGGCTGGAGGGAGTTGTCTGCTATCGGCCTGTTACTTCGATGGAGCTGGATGCCTATCTGCTGCGATTGGGATCAAGTTGGTTGTCAGCCATGATGTCCTCAGAGACTTTGTCACTCTTTTCTGATCATGCAACACACATGACACACAAACCCACAAGGTAAAGACAGGTGCATGCATGCTCACAGCATTCAGGCCGTCCTCATTTGCACAACTGATTTACGAGCTGTTTGGTGTGCGGGTTGTATACACATCGGTATGTGTCAGTGTCATATTTGCGCACTGCACTAAAAGCGTGTGTTTGCGTGTGCGCTCGCGTGTGTCAGCGAATGTCTCGGTGTACAGTATGCATGTGTGATTGGTGCTGGCAGCATGGGTGATGAGGGGTAAGACCTGAGTGCGTGGCCTGGTTTTCCTGTGTGCAGATGAAACATGACAGCTGCAGGACTGTCTGCTGCTGCTGGTCTGCTGGCCTAGACCAGATCAGGCTCTTACTCCCCATTGCATTTATGGTAACAGTGAGGCTCTGTGTTTATATTTACATACAGAGAGCAGCAGGGAAAACATTCCAACGCTGCAAAGCAGAATCTTTGTGTTGGGTGGCTCCAGTCAGCCACGCTCCCCTCCTATTCTACCCTTTCTTCTACACATCACAACTTGCCTTTTGTTACAGCCAAACCCCGGAATCAGGGTCTTACTCAGGCAAACACATATTTGCATCAGTGCATACATGTTACACAATATAGGCTACATTTAACACAAGAACATTACATAAAAGCAATGGATCACGCACACAGAAACATTCATCCATGAAGTGATGCACAATGGACAAGACTGTGGAGAGGATGTAAATAAATATGTGGAATAAAATCAAAAAGCATGAGGCATTTTGCACATTTGGTAATGCCAAACAGAAAAAAACACAAGTGTTTGCCATAAATATACAGTATATTATTGTCTTCAGCAGTAACCGCTAGTGAAAGTAGCTTGGCCCGAGATATAGGCTTAGTTTTATCAATGCCTCCTGACAGATGGAATTGAGCAGCTTGTGGGAGCGTGAAGCCCTTTCGGCTGCACTCCTGTGGTGATGTGTTTGTGAAGAGCAGGTATGACTCCATTTTAAACTGCAGCGAGGAGGGCACTATTGTTTGAGATTCATAGATATGAGCAGATTAGTAGAAAATTGATGGACAAATAATGACTGGGTGGGGGGAGGGTTGACCTTTTAAAAATATGAAAAGTAGAGCAAGAAAACAACAACACAAAAGAACACATACACAAAGGCCAAGAAATAATAAGTTAATTTCTTTCATTTCTGCTCTAAAGTCAATGTGCTGTTTTCATAGTATTTTGTTTTTCAACACATTTCATGTGAAATCATGAAAAATTAAGTAGTGGCTGCATGTGAGTTGAATACTGAGTATGTCATACAAACATAAAAAGCACTAACACCATTTGGACCAGCATATAAAGCAGTAAAGTCTACACAAAGTGGGGACACATTTACATGCAAACATAGAGACAGAAGCCAAAAGAAGGTAAAAGAAGAACTTTGTCAACACAAATATTACCCTGTCACCCCCTCCTTTCCCTCCCCTTCTCTCTCTCTTACTCTTTGTCTTCTCTACTCATCTCCTGTGCTTTTAATATGATATGTGCACAGGTGTGGCACAACTTACTACTGCTGAGGCAGGTGGCCTCTGTCCTCTGGCTGTACTCCTGTCTGTGGCCATATCCAGATGCTGAGCTTTAGAGAGGAGGGTTAGCTAAGCAAGGCGTGATGGACTAGGTTAGTACCTGCCAGAGAAGGGGAGTGGACCTTGGCACAAGGGAGCAGGGGAAGGGCAGAAGCCTCTGTAGAAGGCCTGGGGCACCTTGCTGTCCCCAGGTTTGTTGATGACACTGTAAATAGGCTCAGCCCTGCTGTGGGGTACAGGAATCACAGTGAACGGGACAAGTGTAGGACACAAATAAAGCACACATACCAACAAAGATGCGACAAATGCACATACAAGTCATGTAGACAGCTTGTACAAGGACATTACAGGGCAACATAGCAAACACTCGTCCAGTAACACATTCACTCACCAGCGCACATAAACGCTTGCATGCAGCCACAAACACACACAGAGGGAATATAGCCTCCTCCCCAGAGCTGTGGGTTAAGCTGACTCAAGGCCTTGTGGGACACTCCAATCAAGCCCTTATGAATGCTACTTCTGATCCAGTACTTGGATGGGAGGTCAAAGGTTAAAACACAGTCATAACAAGTACAAGAAGTGACAAGAGGCCTCTCTCAGCACACAGCCACCACACACTGTCCAGCTATAATGTAGGATGCGACACCAATGAGCTAAAAAAGAAATAAAGTAAGCTAAGCATTCCTTTTTCTTAATCGAACATTGTACGAGGGTACGTTAAACTGCTGGACATACATGTACCATCAAAGGCACTATGACAACGCCTGTAAAACAGCAACAAAATGGAGGCTGCCAGGAACAAAATGAAACCCATGCAAGCTGAAAATACTTGTTTAAAAAATGTAATTTAGCGCCAGACAAGTTTGCACCACAGCCATGTTTATCTACAACTACACCAGGAAATACCCCCAAAGACCACTAGCTGATGTCCACAGGCAAACTGTGCTACAGCTTAGTCAGTCCTATCCCCATATAATGCCAAATGTGTGTAATGCATTGGAAAAGTATTCATGGAACCGGTCTGTGACCTACCTTGGGAAGTCTTCCTCCCCCAGCATGTGGCGAGGAACGGGTGAGTACCTGGACGGGGTAACCTGGGGGGGCGGGTACACTGGCTTGGGCTCCATTGCCCCCATGTAGTTGTGGCTGACGTGGTTGTCCACCATGGTTGGGAAGGCTGGAGGGAGGGCCAGACCAGTAGGGGGAAAGAAAGAATGATTACAACACAGGTGCAACAGGAACACGGCACGAAACTGCCACTGCAGAGGTCATTCATATATTAGCATGACACAACAGCTTCACTGCCACAACAAAAATATCATCCACTGCTTTTGTATTATCATTAAAATTCCACTATGCTACAACTTGGGTGTTACTTTTAAGTTGTTTGGTATAGATGCTGAGATGTGGGAACACTTTGACACAATTAAAACAAAACAACTAGCGATCAAGTGATCAGACTGGTACACAAGTGAGCATTTAACCAGATCATTTAATGATCTTACTTAAATGCATTATTTACAGTAAAACCAAAAAGGAGTGCACCCATAATGTTGCTAATAATCCCTCACTGCACACGAAACCGGTGTACACACATCTGTAGCCCAGCAGGTCAAAGTACAACCACAAAAGTCAATCTACAAGCTGTATAATTGGATAAACTGCTGAACTGGCCATTCAGTTTGCATAATAATTGTAACATTTTGCCTTCATTTAATCTTCCAAATAAGTTTTCCAAACTTGTGGGTTTGTTTAAACTGTGTTTGACCATCTAACTACTTGTATTTGTTACCTAATCTAAATTCTTTTTTAGCAAAGTCTCTGCATTCCCAGAGGTTAGCAATTAACTTGGTGAGAACAACGAGCAGTGGCCAGAGTAACCAAAAAAAGACGCAGGATTTTCTTTAAAGACACTGAGGAAATTAGCTTGACTTGTCACACACACACACACACACACACAAACACACACACACACACACAACAGTCTTCTGTCTTGTATGCCCGTGGTAATCATTACACAATAGGCAACTAACACTGAGTAATATGTGAACAGAGATGTTTCAGTAATCTAAACTTGGTGTTCTATTTAATCTGTCAGTCCTCTTCTTGTCCAAAAAGAAAACCTGGTGTTGTTTTTGTGCATACATGCAAAATACAGATCACAAGCACAACACTTCTTTTTTTTCTCAATTTACATTCTTGACAGAGGCAGCTGAGCATGATAAAACAAGCAAATCCAGATCATCTGACCACGGGTTATAATGTCAGTGCGGGGTTAAGTCTGCATTACGGGCTTGCTTAAACCCTGACAACTGCAAACATTTAGAACATACAAAAAGCCCTTGATAGCCCCCTCTAATACTAAATCACTGTTCGTGGAAATTTGAGATGCTGCAGCTCAAGATCGTGGGCTCTCATGAGCAGGTGGGATGTGAGAAACCATCCACACTCAGTGGGAGGCAGAGAACTGCGCTTGTTGTTGCTGTGGGAAGGATTGTGTGTGTGTGTGTGTGTGTGTGTGTGTGTGTGTGCAAGCATTCACTGCATTCACTATGTGGGTGTCTGGGCATAGCAGTTTTGGGGAGAGAACAGTGATCCAACAGAAAAAATTCTGAAAACATCTCTGGTAAAGATGAAAAGATGATTCCGAGTGCACAACATGCTAACATGGACCCTGACTTCTAAAACTCCCTTTACCTTACGTCAAACATGTTACATAAATAACGTGTTCTAGTTGTGGTGCTGGATGCCAATGGATTAGTGAATATTAAGTGTCATTTCTGTCTTTGACGTGAGTGTTTGAGATGCGAGCAGGATGGCTGGAGCAACAAGAAGAGGTAGATACGTACTGCTGGAGTAGTCTGGTGGGGCGTACATGTCATTCAGATGGACAGGTCCTGGCTTGGCCACCTTGAGGTAAACCATATCAGAGGTGTTCTTCAGTGCAGCGACTGCCTCCTCATGACGCACGTCCTGTAGCATGGTGTTGTTCACCTGAATGTGATGAGTGTCAAGAAATGAGAGGAGGAAAGATCCTTGTATCAACACCTGAAAGCCCCCTTGTCTTTGCTGCACTGTGACAACATCATGCATCACAGCAGTCATCACACCAGCCAACACAATAATGAATCATAGCTTGAAGGTATTATGAGATTTCGGTACATTTCGACAGCAGAGGGAAAGGTTGGTGTGTTGTGCGGCGTTAACACAGGTCAAAAGCAGTAGGTAGAGGTTTTAAAGATGCTCTGCATTTTTACAGTTTCTTTTTTAAGACGCAGTTCCCTGGAAATATACTGTCAGTCAAAAGTTTTTAAACACCCCATATTTTAGCAGTTTTGGCTATACTTGAGCAAACATACTCACTGTCAATAATGCAACTGAGAACAGGAGAGGAACTAATACAGTACACCATATGGGAAATGAGAAATGCATGGATCTTAATCAATCATTTAATAGGACACCTACACTATATAACACAATGTGTTTGTGCCGAAAATGACGTAGTCTGAAAGTTTTCAACATATGGTAATTCTGCCAGAATTACAGAGGTCTTCCAACCACCCAGAAATCTGCTGATTTCTTGGCAAATATCTCCAGGACAAGAGTAATAATATGCCTGACATTTCACTCCAACAATGACAGTCAAGTGAGCCACCTGATCTTTAAATTTTTTTAAGACAGCTTTGAGATGAGATGAGATTTTTAATTTGTATTTTACTACAATGAGATGCACTGAAGTTCACAATACAGTAAATAAACTATTCTGGTTACAGCTGCCAAAACATGGTGATCATGACGCACAGTATTTCTACTCTGATGTGTATTATTTCCCAAAGACTGTGGTGGTTAAAAATGTCTTTTTTCATTATGTAACAGCCTAAACAAATGAAATATTTTGTACTCTCATGTCCAGCTGATGGGTCTTTATACTGTCTCACCTCATGGGCCAAGTGGTAGATTATCAATCATGCACAAAATTATAAATGCTAATGTGTGTTGTGTCACGAGAAGGTTGCTCATCCCGTCATTTTAAGGGTTGATTTGTCCCATAAACGCTCATCCAACTACACTGAGAGCACACCTGCCCAGCTATAGAAATAGATATTTGTAATGGGTACACAGAAATTGCCTAATTTTTGTTTAACTCGCCAGTGAACTGCATGAACACCTGGTTTTATTTTGATTTGAACACCACATATGTGACTGAGGCAGAGGAGGATGCAGGCACATACAGCTAGCAGGCGATCTCCGGTCTGCAGCCGTCCATCTTTTTGGGCAGCTCCACCTTCTATGATCTTGGTAATATAGATACTGTTGTCTCCTGGGATGTGCTGGTTCCCGATCCCTCCAGCGATACTGAATCCCAGTCCTGGTTGAGTAACACATAGTCAATTAGTCAATACCGACTGCGTACACTTGTAGCTACATTCCATCTCTACAAATGTATTTTTAATTACACTACAAACTGTAGAAGATCTGTGATGAGTCAATGTCTGTATATGTATCTGACCTTTGGGTCCTTTCAGCAGGTTGACCTCCAGAATCGTCTCAGGTGGGGCCTGCCTCCGTCGGACCAGCAGTCGCACCACAGGTCCTGCCTCCTTGAGGGCTTCCACCGCCCGACTGTGAACCACCTCAGACACATCGACATCGTTCACACGCAGCACACAGTCATTAACCCTGTGAAAAGAAAAAAAACAATAACAATTTTATACACAGCACTGTGTGTGGTGCAAAGGATTTAATTCACTGTACAAAGGCAGGGAGACCCAAGAAAGGCCAATACAATCAAAAACCTCCAAAGCCCATAAAAAAACACTCCATATCATAATTTTTGCTTTTTTTCAGGCTTTGGTTTTCCAGTGAATCATAACTTTGAGGAAGCACACAGAGCCAGGGGGCAGAGGGCCGTAGAAACTCTGCCTCCCACACAGTGCTGCCTGGCGGGACACGGTGTTGGTGAGCGTTAGAGATGAAAGTAGAGAGGTTAGAGTAGAGAGAGAATGGAGGGTGCAGTGGAGCTCAGAAAGAGGAGAAGGAGGGAACGAGGTGGACTATGGGGAGGAGGGTAATGTGGCGAAGTGGGGAGCTTACCCTAGCCGTCCATCCATAGCAGCTGCTCCTCCAGGAATGATCTTGGTGATGAAGATCCCTGGATCATCAGGAATGTGGGGATTGTCTATTCCTCCAGCAATGCTGAAGCCCAGGCCAGAGTTCCCCTGAACACAGGTTATGATTGGCTGTTTCAGTAGGATACAATAAACAGTACACATATGCATGCACTTAGATGTAAGTGATGGACCCAATGTGGGCTCAAGGTCAGTACCATATGGCTCTTAAGTGTATTGGTATCACGTGATCGATGCAAACTGCTCCAGGGATTTCTACAGGCATTTCCTATGTCTGTTTTTGTGGACACACGTGTATGTGTGTGTCCTCACATGTGACAAATGGTAATGTCATGTATTCCATTAGAAGAGGGCACTTCATTCAAAATGCCACACGTTTTCTATGAACCCACAGAGAGGCATCCGTGTTAGAAATGTCCAGTGTCCACAGAAAAATGGATTTATAATCAAAAGAAAAGATGAGTTCAGAAGCATCACTTCTTTTGCATGATACAATGCTTCTCACTCTCTGCAGCAGATAGACACTACCACCTCCTGCCGTTTCTGTCCCTGAGATGACAGAGGACCCTTTCGGATCCAGTGGGTCCAGGCACACTGCTGCATCTGACAGTCGTGGCCACAGAGACAGGCAGCAAACAAGACAGCTGAGAAAAGACTTCACTTTATTATTTTCTATAATTAATGAGCAACAGTCGCAACAAATTAGGACAGAGGGAGGCTGAGGCCTCCCAGTGCGCTGCTCTGGAGCCGAGAGGAGTACACTGGGCCTTACCACCAAATGTTACACACCCACAGACCTTTTAAAGTGTGACTTTGCATAGTTTATTTAAGCTTTCTGCATGCAGAAATGCCACTTAGAGTGAAAGGGGCAGAGAGATACTGTGCATCTATCGCGGGTTCGGAGGTGCATCTATATGTGGGTGGAATAATGAGAGCAGAAACATATAGCTCTGCCACTACAAGCTGAACCCCCACTGACAAGTGCAGTGGTGCCTGCTGAACAATTGAACAGGAGAGCACTTTACATTTCTGGCGTCTGCTGATGACATGTGCATCAGGATTATGTAAAAAGCCATGCCTCACTGGCGTTATTCTTTACTCATACTCGCATAAGACATCACACATAAGACATTCTTAATGCTGTGATGTAACAGCTATAACTTCACCAACATAAAGTTTAACTTACGATTCTCAGAAATTTACAGCAATAAAGATTTGTCTTTGGTATTTATGCAACTCAGTGAGCAAAGACTGAGCTGCTTACTACCACCTAGTGGGGAGAAATTCATCCATCATGCAGAAAACACATAAAAGAAGAATGTGGAAAATGTGGAAAAAATGTAATAAGCAACTGGTAAAGCTCACCCTCTCCAAAATGATCTCTTCATATTTGTACATCCCATCACTGCCATTTACCTGTCAAAATAAAAAAAACACATAATGGTTAGTTACATCACTGAGCACAAATGATGCCATTTCCTAAAAATATAGTAAGAAAAAAAAGAGAAGCGTGTAAATCTTTCAGCTAAATCCTTTACCATATACACAGAGTAGATCTATGTGCAGACTGAACACAGAGAACCGTGGAGAATTGGATTATTGACAAAATATCGAGAACATATACTCAACAGTTTCACTGGCTAAAAATACCACCACGAATTTCTGATTTGTTGCAATGAAAGGCGTCTTTCGTTCTTTCTTTCTTAAAATGCGTATACACTGTGAGCCTACATGTGCAACTGCAGTATGCACATTTTTGTACAAACAGCCAGGGTCAATAGGATAATGGATGTTGGTCCACATGGCAAACAGCATGTTGCTACCAGGAGGAGGCCTTTTCATCCACACACACAAACATGCAAACATGTTCATGCACCGAAACAGATGAAGTGTGAATGAGAGGGATATATACTGTACAGACAGCGAGAACAGATACTTACATAAGGGCCTGCATCTAGTGAGTCTGCGTTGACAATGATGGGGGGAGGGTTGGCCTGTGAATATGAAGAGATACACATTATCTCAGTGTGTGAGGCGGGCAGCACGCAGACGTAATGCGGTACACACACTATCACTTGGGAGCAAAGTGAACGGATGCCATAGGAACAGTCAGTGAGTCTCCTTGGGACTGAGACTGTGGGGAGGAACATGGAGGAGGCGGGAGGGGGTTGGGAGGTGTGAGGACTGAGAATGAGGACTGGGGAAGAGAGACCGCTGCTTATTAACTGCCACAGCCAGACATCCCGCGGTCACCTCATAAAACAAACCGGCTTGTGTACCAGCTGTTGGCACAATACGTTTATCCCACATCTACTTTCACTTTCGTTTAACACACTTGAGAAATAACACCATGTAGTATCACACAGAAAATGCATGTTTTTATGGCGGTAGATTATATGAAGGGATTTACAGAATAATACGAACACAGAAGAAAATAAGATAGAAGGTACAAAATATGCCTTTTTAATATATAGTTTAGAATTAAGGCAATGTACTCTTCCAACAATGATCCTTTAATGTATACTGATATCAAGTGGCATAGTCTAACACCTAATGTATTTGGTTGTTTTTTGTCGTCAAGCAGTAGGTTGTGTAGTAATCAATAAGACACCTGACAGAAAATTAATTTACAGTACTGAAAACTAACTACCACTTGCTCTGTTTCCTGTTTGCATTTAAGGGCTTTATGCTTTTTCTCTGACTATTAGAAATATTAACTTAAGACCTTTGGTGTCTGTGATTTGCAAGATGCCATCTAAGTTTAAATTCTAATATTTTACAGGCTAACCAATTGCTTCATTGATGACAATAAAATTTGTAGCCCTCAATATGTAAAGCATCTGTTCAACCTAATTGTTTAGTCAACAGAAACTTAACTGTCAACTATTTTGATGACTATTAGTCATTTACTGAGAAAAAAAAAATGCTATTTGGCATTTGGTATGAAAAAAGATAAAACTCAGTCACACTGTCATGACTCTTTTTTACTGTGTTAATTGTTACAACTTAACAATTAAGCAACTAATCAAATTAATTGCAAAAATAACTGACAGATCACTCAATAACGACAAAAAATGTTGGACTAAAGGCTGTAATTACAATAGATTTTGTTTTACTCGACCCATTCTAAATGAAGACTCCTTATGTTGTTGTTTTCTTTAAGGATGTGAAAAAAGGTCAAACACAGATTAAGTGCAAGTATCAACAGTATCAGAAGCAGCATTCAAAAACCAAATTAATCCAACATCAAGTGCTACATATTAGGCTCCACAGTTCAATTAACTTTGCAGCTCAGCTCTTTTGTGCCACCTGGTGTTTCTGTCCCTACTTCAGGCGTTGAGGACGGCCGAGGAAGGAGAGTGAAAACGGAGAGGCAGGCGTGTGAAGGGGGAGACACATTGGTTGGAGCAGCTTGACGGCCATCCTTTAGTTCAGCACACCGACTGTCTACTTTGTATTGATTTGATCGAGTTGTGTGGGTGAGGGGATGCTGACAGTGCTGTTTGGGGACCTTATACTTCTTGAGGTCCAACACTGAGGAGAAAATCACTAGCTGTCTATCTTACTGCTACCCTCCCCCACCTCACCCGATCTCACCCTCTCACCTTCGTCTTACTGATACATGTACACACTGCCTGTGCTCAAGCAGCTGTGATCTTACTCCTGAATCACGTATTACATACTACTTTTAGACGTATAATATCCTATTGTAGTGAGGGGGCTTTCTTAGGCTGTGGGCATAATTTGGGTCTGTTTGCCTCCTCAAAGGGAAGGATCACTACCAATCAATACAAAGTTGTTCTGAGAGACCTCTTGGATCCTATGCTGAAACATTTCTATCATCCTGATGGGAGTGATCTCTTCCAGGATGACAAGCCCCCATCCAGAGGGCATGAGGGGTCACTGAATGGTTTGATGAGTATGAAAATGATGTGATTCATATGTTATGGCCTTCACAGTCACCACCTCTCAACCTAACTGAATACATACGGGAGGTTTTGGACCGAGGTGTTAGACAGCGCTCTCCATCACCATCATCAAAACACCAAATGAAAAAATAGCTTTAGAAATAATGGTGCTCATCGCTCGAGCAGAGTTTCAGAAGCTTGAAGAATCAATGCCCAGGAGCATGGAAGATGTTCTAGTGGTACCTGCAGTGATACTGCTACCATATCTGACAATGCTAGTCCAGAAACACAGCTGTAGAAGTGGACATATGAAACACAAAAAATATACTGACATTAAGTATTATTTGCGATTTGGTTAGATAAAATAAAAATATGAGAAAGTATGTTTTTGGTAAGACTTGACAAAACATTTCATCACATATTTCATATAAAAATGGAAACCTACAATAAAGCAAACCTTCTCACAATTACCTTACATACAGATATTAATGGGAAAGCCATCACAGCATGTCTCTCACACCGACAGGATGGCATGAACAGTTTAAACCCTGGGTCAAACATGCTGCATAGTTTGAATCGCAGCCTTCACGATTTTCTAAGGGCATAGCTTCAAACTGAAATATAAATTTAAAATCCAATCACTGTTCAGCCCTACATAACAGCATAAATGGAATAACAAAGCAATGGTCGACCTATGTACTCAACAAATAGAACACTCAACTTAGCTGTTCTATGTACTGTACATTTAACGTTTAACTCCTTGGATAATACTATTAAAGACATCTAATGTGAGATTATACAACTTCGCAGTAATAAAAGCCTCTGTTGAAGGGGTTTCAATCAAACTGCATATGACTGCAGCACCTCCATGTCCACAAAACAGTAACAGATATTTGCTCTTTTGATCAAAAGCACCTCACAAGATGTGCATCATTTCCCCAAGCCTTTAGACTTCTTTGTATTGAGCTCCCAAGTAATGAAGGTTGCTCTCCAAATAAACAGAAGCTGTAGATTTGACCCGCTCCACTCAGTAGTGATGTGCTATGACTCTGGACAGCTGTGGCTGCAACTCCCCCTCCCAGTCAGCACAATCGGGCCTTGGTTGTAATCTGCATATGGACTAACAGATGCTCATGTCTGTGCTTGTGTTTGCACATTTCTCATGAAAGCTTTGCACATTTCTCTCCCTTCATCTTAGACCCCAACCCATAGCACGTTCCCGAAATCCAGCAGAGATTTTAATGGGGACAGCATCTGCAATATGGCTGTGAAACCCATGGCAGCCATGATAGTGACAGCCTATTGTGAATGAAAACTGTGAAAGCAAAGTCAATACACCAAGAAGTGATGAAACACAGCCTGAGGGCAACACAGGGGAATACATTGGCTACTGTTGTCCCTATGTGACTGACTGACTAAGCTATTGAATCCACTTCTGAGACCACATGTGACGAAACCCACCTGTTACAGTATAATGGCTTCAGTGCTTATCATCAGTATCATAGCAAACTGATGCAACCCAATGGGATCACTGAACCTACAAGTCCAGCTGAAAGACAATAAACCCATCAGTCGTAAAAAAACAGCAGTATTATCCTACCCTGGGATTGCTGTGTAATCCCTCTATCTTAATCTCACATAACAAGCAAACAAAAAGGAATAATGGAAGATAATCTCAACACGGGTAATCTCAACATGAGTTTGTTTAACATTTGGCAATTTACTCAGGTAACTTGGATTAGATTGGATTATCCCTCCCTCCTTGGGACTGTGGGTAACCTGCTCTCACCTCTGTGACAACCTCACGCACAGGAACGAGACAACTGATTAAAGACCATGAAGTCTGACCACCGCTGAAGTTTGTAGCACATAATGGAGGTATCATGGAGCGCTGTCTGAGCTACAATGGTCCCCCAGAGGACGAACAGAGGACAAACACTGACTTACAGTATTTGGACTTCCTTGCCACGGGAGGTGGATTGAGGATCAGAAAGGTGAACACAAAAACAGTCTCTTACACACTGATGTCAACCCAGGAGGGGATGGGAATGTCTGTCAGTGAGTTGCAGTTGAATGTGGGTCAGAGAACTTCAAGAGATTCAATTGGTGAGGCAGTGAAAGGTTACAGATGTGGTGTAGTGCCAGAGCTGTAGACTTGAGCTTGGAGATGTGGACTTCAATCACCACTAAGTTTCAAAAAACGATAACTTGAGACATTATTGGAACGTGACTGCTCTGAGACTTGACTTGGAACAACCGCAAAAAGATAAATAAGAAAGCAACAGATGGCTATGTTAATTATTGTGCCTCTGTAATGAAAAGACATGATCTCTGCTATGTACAAACACTAACATCAGCTCCTGAAGGAAAATATTAAAATGCAACAATCAGCATTCAGAGACCTGAAAGAGTTGCTATTTGCCTGTGAAGATGTGTCACTTGACTTGGATTATCCCTCAGTGAATGAGATTTTAACATGATGTCCTTAGTTACGCACGTGATCTGTATCTAGATTTATTATTTGGATAATCACATCTAATTCTAAGGTCCCTGCGTTTACACATAGTATGAATCGCTCTGGTTTTTGCAGTTCTGCCTACATTTGATTGGCTCTCATTTTTGCAAATTAGTTAAGTGGATCGTGAGGACTTGTCAACAAACATGACATTTCCCAGGTCACAGAAAAGGCATGGGAGTTATTTCATTTTTTTTTTTTTTTTTGCAAAAAGATAGACCTGTTAGCTAGCAGGGAGGAAGTGGAGTAAGGTCACCTTTTAACTTGCAGGGCAGATTTTTTTTTTCTTAATGTGACCATGGCAGATGGATAGAATTTACAGGCATAACAACATATGGCAGATATTCCCTTCTAATTCAATACATTAATTATTAAAGGCTGTGTACACAGTTGTTACTCTTTATTTCTTCCTACCTGCAGTGCAAGTTTCAGGGTTACAGGAGCCTTGGCACAACACTGCATGGACAACCATGCAAATAGACTGATATATGGAAGCTAGTGACCACACTGGATGCATTGTCACTGTGTGAATGTACACACAATGACAATAAGCCCAGACTGCTTCCCCAGC